CAAATCGCGGGGGAGGTAGATGGTTTAAGGCATTGATTGGCCGCGACAACTTCCTATAAATCGGTCCCAACCGAAAAACATTCTATTTGATGTTTATAATTACCCATCTTCATTATTACGCCATTAGTTTCAAATAGATTAAAATATATATTTCCTATCGTTTGATCCAAAATGTATTAACCACGTGTAAACATTTTAACTTACAGATACTTATTTGTGTTTGCACATATAGATCGCAGAAAAATACACAGTGACAATGAAAGTAAATGGGAGGTGCACGTGTTTTGCTGCAAAGTGTTTTTGTTGTTTTCCAATTCCATTTTGTAAATCTTGTCTGTCCCTTGTGTGCCCGATCATAATAAAGTAAAATAAAACTGAGAAAGGGCGGGAAACAAGATTAACAATTATGTGCCTCATTATGGTTTTAATTATAAAATGAGGTGAAAATTTCGCGGCACACAGGTTGCGCATCTCTGCTCTAGACGAGTGATCTTCCCACAGTGGCCGCTTTTAGTGTTTCCAAGATGGAGTTCTTGCCAGGGATGTCATCTGAATACTTACCTGAGAAAAGCTTACAGTTCTATTATTATTTAATACTTTGCCTGCTTTGTTTATTGCTGTTCTGTCTTTCGGTGCACTTGGCAACCCTGACTTGCATGAACTTGGCGTTTTAAGGTTTGTACCATTTGTCCGAGTCTCATTTGTTTACAGGAATGCATGTCTTGTGCTGACATCTATTATCATCAGCATCATCATTATCCTCACCTCCACTACTCGCACTGATCAACAGTATGTTATCATTTTAATTATTTAAATTCTCTGATCTAGTACGTTGTATGATTTAAATTCTTCTAATTTTAATCTAAAAGACTTCATTTATTTGAACTATCATGCATAAAAATTCTCCACAATTATGTAATTTTAGATAAAATCTTTGTTGTTACCATTCTATATATTTTATTCTGTTCTTCTTGTGTGCTGCATCTGTAATTGGCCTTCCAGCTGTTGATACAGCACACCAATGATAAAGAACTTAATTGAATCATAATTACTGTCATCATCATTAATATTATTCTTGTTGCTTTTATTAAATCATCAGCAGCAGCAGCACTGCGTGATTGCATATCCTCAGGTTGCGGACGGAGGGGAAGGCCTCTAGATAAGGAGGGTAGCTTTGAATACTTAACCTTCGACAAGGGGTGGTACCATAGCTCTTGTTTGAGCACGGGTCAGTCTTTTCCCCATCTTAGAAACTCAGCTTATAGTCAAAATGTTTCTCAGGGTCTCGGACTATGAGAGATTATTTGAATTTCCTATATTGTTATCTAATTTTGTAATCCATTTTTACTTTCTTAAAATATTTAGTAGGGACTCCGTACCACCTAACAAAGACAGTGTTTCTGCAAGTTTACATCCACTTTCTTATTTCCATTTGTGATTCAGAGGATTCAAACTTGGAAATTGACCAGCTCCCTAATAACTTGTCTGCAGATGAGTGGTAACTATTACGTGTTCATTTGACCTTGAGAAAATAACAGCTGACTGCTCTTTCTTAATACCATTCTCACCTCGTAGGAACATAAACATAATAAAAAAAACACGTTTATCAAATACAAATATTTATTAACAATTTAATTATGTACACATGTTTCAGTACCATGGGGCTGGTTTACTTTCTTTCTGTTTCTTGGAACCTTATGGTCTAAAAGACGAGGTGATTGGGGCGAAGTATTTATTCCGTTGCTCGTCTAATCTCCCTTTTGGATCTTTGCTGGAGGTCTGTTACATTTTGAATCGTGAATCTCGTTCTGTTCGAGACGACTCTCGTGTTCTGAGAGAGCTCTTTCATCTTTCTGGACCACTCAGACAGAACCTGCATATGCAAAGAAGATTCAAGTCACATTTACTGGCAACATGAACTCCTTACACTCATCAGGACTACGGAATGAACTGGAAAGAACACGTAAGAAACATGGCACTGCAGTCAGCAATGGCAGAAATAACCGAAGCTAACATCAGCGCAGATGGCATTTGAAGGGCACTGACAGGATTTACAAGAATTGACAAACCCAGGAAGAATATAAGAGGAAGACACACAGAAAATGTCACGGTTCGCTGTCCCAAACACATGCAAAAGAGAATGCAGAGAACTCCATTACCAATTTTGCACTTTAAATCGACTGGCGAAAGAAACAGCAGCAATGGGCTCGTCTGTTTTTGTATTCCTTTCTTGTTTCGAGTGGGGAAAAATAGTACAAACTGAAGTGTTATACTCTTAGGGGAAGGAGCAGAAATACAAAGGGCGTACAACGTATTCGTTCATCCACTTTCCTAACCATCCGGTACCAAGGACTATTTTTTTTTCATGTACAATGCTTAACCACGAGGCCGCATCACTCCCTCCCCCCGTGGATACCCCGTCGCCCATTTTACAATCATCACATCTCCCACTAACCTAACCTAACCTTCTGATGCTTCCGAATCTCCCCAAAATATATTCGCCCTCAATGAACATGGCAACAACACTGTTTGTCGAAACGTTGGGAAATATTCAACAGTCTACGCTGCTTGCTTCCGTAAATAAAAATTAAGCAATGAAACCAGCAGTCGACTTACACGTACCTGCATAGTTGTTTCCGTGGACTGGTCGCGCTGTCATTTGGGAGGTCGACCACCGGCGTTGGTAGTCGTGGTCTCTTAGTTCGCCTTTCGCTGTCTCCTGAGCTGCTCAACGTCCTCTTTCGTGGCGCAGTCTTTATACCTTTAGGGGAATGAGCAGAAATGCAAAGGTCGTACAACCTCTTCCTTCGAGAACTAGCCGCGTAGAATGTTGACGGTTATCGGGCACTTGTCTTGTGAAATTATTTCGCGCGACCTCCATTCCAAGCCACTTGGTTACTAACTCACGACTGCAGCTTCATAAGTAACCACACACGGAGGCCAGAAACTGTTATGAAATGCGCACATTCCAAAGCCCTTCGACGACAAAATGCCAGGGGTTGAGGGTCAAATGTAGGAAGTAAATTGCCCCATTTCCAACGGAAAATCCTGTGACCCGATGCTACATATCCTTCTCACAGGCCACCCCGTTCACTTAAGTCATCTGCTCCCTTATTTCGTCTTTCCTTCCTTCCAACGCCTTGATCTGTTCCGTCCCGTCCGAACCACGTGGCCGCTAAACATTTCCTCGTAACCTCCTCTATTGCTTC